GTTTGTTTGTTTGTTTGTTTGTTTGTTTGTTTGTTTGTTTGTTTGTTTGTTTGTTTGTTTTGTTTGTTTGTTTGTTTGTTTGTGTGTGTGTGTGTGTGTGTGTGTGTGTGTTCGTGTGTGTGTGTATGATTTTATGTATGTATGTATGTATATCTGCATGTGTGGTTTAAATGACCATATAACTACACATACACAAGATGAAAACTGAAGGAACATACGTTTTCATTCTTCGGATGGTGGCATATTGTGGAATTTTTCAGGTGGAATGCCTGCGGGGATGCCTGGAGGAATGCCTGCGGGGATGCCTGGAGGAATGCCTGCGGGGATGCCTGGAGGTATGCCAGGAGGTATGCCAGGAGGTATGCCAGGAGGTATGCCAGGAGGTATGCCAGGAGGTATGCCAGGGGGAATACCTGGGGGTATGGGAGGCTTAGGTACGTTGAAGCTCTTCCAGAGTGCGCATGAAAGAATTTAGTTGCTGCGTATGACGGGGGAGTAAGTTATTTATGTTAATTCTACACCTTATGTCACTTCTACGTCGTTCTTGCAGGAGGATTGCTCGGTTCCATGAACGATCCCGACGTCCGGCAACTATTTTCAAACCCTAAGGCAAGTGTTTCCTTCAGTTTGACGGCGAAGCAATATTTGTAAAGGCGTTTTTTGCTGTATGTTTTGCTGCGTGTTGGTGGAAATATTGCAGATGATGGCAGCTTTCCAGGATATTTTGACGAACCCAGGTAACATACCCAAGTACAAGGACGACCCGGATATTCTAGAAGCTATGTCTAAGCTAAGTCAGAAGTTTGGTGGAGGTATTTCAGGTGGCTTTAACGTTCCACATTAATGCACAAGCAAGTAGCTACACTCTGCTTTACTTGCATATGCTCATCCTAAAGCCCGCGTGAGTGTTCGTTCCTGTATACAACTGTTTCTACTGTTTCAAAGGGAACTGCACACAACCATGCTTCTGCAGTCAAGTTTCTCTTTGAAATGCGTTCGCCCGCCCGAATTGGTGGCTTGACTTGAGTTCACAAGTTTGTGCCACTCAGTTGGGTACATGTTCGCCTGGTAATTGGGACATCGTCTACTGCCATCCACCCAGGCGTTGTCCTTCACCCTGTTCGTATTGTTTATGAGTCGTAGTCACCTAGAGTAGTTGGAGGGTAGAACATACCTGGAATGGAGACCATCCTCTCCAGCCCTCAGCACGAGCAGCAGATTCGGCCCAACGGGGAAGGAACGACCGGGGTCCGCCTGTAGTTTAGGTAATGGAATAGGATATCGACTCATTCAATCAGCTGGTGCCTTACGGTAGGTTGGAGAGTCGAAAACGTATTGGAGTTGGAACAGTGCAAGGCAGGAGGCGCCGAAGTCGAGAACGTAAAGGATGAACCTGAAATTGAACGGTGATGCACTGTCGCGGTTGTGTGGGGGATTTGTATTCGACTCACTCTAGTTGTGTCACGATGTCGGCGAGCCAAAGTTGCTTCAAGAAGAGGAATATTGCAATGTATGTTTACGATAAGCGCCTCCTTTGTTGGAACTTACAAGACGAGTAGATAACAGGATGCTGAACCAGATGAACCCGCTCATGAACAAGATCGCCAGGCCTGGAATTGAAGGTGTGAGATCTTTCCTGGCGGTGTTACTATTCTTGGTATTAATACTTACTCATGCCTAATGCCAGCGTGATACTGAAATGAGTAGGCTTCTTGCAATAGTAGTACAGCAACCCGCCGAGAATGGCCATGGCCAAAGCTCCACCAACCTTAATGAACAAGAGCTTAGGCACAGCGGCAGCGAATTCAAATAGATCGACTTACATCTTGGACAAAAAAGTGGGCGATCAGGGAAAGGAAGCAGTATCCCGAAATCGAAAGAACTCTTGGTTTCGACTTCTCGAACTCGTCACCCTCAATGGGGATGTCCTCAGGGCCGCCCACAAACATCTTGCAAACAGTGTGATGTGTAAGTAGTGGGGGATCCTTAGTGACACAGTCTTAAGGATGCACCAAAATCTGACCAAAATGGGATGGAAAGGAGAAACTTGTAGACAAGATAACACCATTGCTCAAGTAGCTGGCAGTGGCTGTCTGTACACTCAAGCTGCCGTCGGCATGAAGGCTGTTATTAGCAATATTAGTTTTTTTACTCCCTCTAAACATGGCTTGCTTGCTCTAAAGTCCGTTCGAAAAGAGAACTTTCCATTAATTTCGAGTCCGCCCAAACACTCCTGCCGTGGACTTATACAACTCCACACGGGTCACTTCCCCACCATCTGCAATCCTTCCAAGACGAAGTTTACGGAAAGCAGCCCCCATTTAAAAAACAGGAAGCCAAAAGGCTTATATTAATTGGATCTAAAATAGATACAGCAGGATTTTTTCGTGATCACCAGCTCAAATATGAATGCCTTCGCAATCCGCACCGCTCAAAGGCAGCTGCAGCCGGCCGTAGTTTGCCGGAGAGCAGTGCTAAAGGAGACCAGTCCAACAAGCAAAAATATTTAGTTGCGACGTTCCACGGTGGAGATCCGGAAGTACCGTGCACTCCCGAATTTCCGACAGTCTGGTGTTCCTGTTTCAAATGGGCAATCGATTCAGCTGACGATTTGGGGCAACACGACTACTGTATTCAACGCATAGCACAAACCTTCACAATGGAACTTCCCAGTGTTGGTGTGAGCGTTGCAGTCGCTGCTCACGCTCAAAGTGAGGAAATCCTCTTTCATTGGCATTAGGCAGGCAGGGATAGTCGCTCCAGTAACTTGGAATCTGGTGGTGCATAGGAAAATCGGTTCAAAATGGCTTCTCCCGTCAAGCCGGAACCGAAAAAAGAGACAGCTTTCCCGAGACATGGGTCAAGTGCTTGTGAGAAAACCCTCAGGTTTGAGCTGGGTCGTACCAAATCTGCACATGTGCACAGACTAGAAGTTTTGCAGAGTGGTCCACTTGTGCACTGTTCCTAAAAATATTGTTTGAGATGCACTGCAATGCTATGAAAACGCCTCCATTTGTTAGCTTGAATAACAATAACAGGGTGTAGTACCTAATCTGCCAACAACCATGATCCTGTGATGCACATCTTAGCGGCCCTTGCAGTCGAGCATGCTTATAGTAGATGAGCTAATTCTTGGTGCTGTGCTCCACTGATAGTAGATGAGCTAATTCTTGGTGCTGTGCTCCACTGAAGGAAGTTGCATTGCATGCAGCTGTAGAATGCACACCTGATCCAAGATCGGGTTCCGTCAATTTTTCATTATCTTTTTCTCACTGCCGCCGCAAGTGTCCTGTCGTACAATGCGCGTGTAGGGCATTCCACATGCAACAACCTTTACAGTTTGCATTCATCATCAAGAAGGCTGGAGGTCTGTGCATATTCATCAGACTTATTGGATGCAGCATTGTGCCCGTTCCGTACCTTTTGTGACGAGTTTTTTGCAACGTATTATCCATACGGTGAAAGCGTATTACATATCCCGTTGGTGGCATTCTATAAATTTGTTTCTAGTAGGCAGAATGATGCTCTCTCCCACTTGTGCGGCTGCTCTCAGATGCACAAAGAATCTCCTTTGAGCCCCAACAGTGAGCGGCCGAGCGGCCGTACTGTTGGCGTTGCTTCGCGAAAAGACCTTCAGCAACACCGTCATGCGTATTCGGGAGCAACGGATGACTGCCCATTCTTAGTTATCCCGGATTGCGTTGTGAGTTCCTCATGGCCTGTGCGCACCCCGAGGAGTCCTGTACCAACCTGGTTCTGCAGAAGGGACAGTTGGCTTTTTCAATCGTTTCGTCCACAGAAACCGTGAGTGAGGAGTGGCAAATGCAGGTATTTGACAAGGTCATTCAAGGAACCACCTATACTAAGAAAGTAGTTCTGCGGAATCGTGAGAAGGTTGGAAGGCGGTTGCGGCTAGAAGTGGACCCCCAAAGCCCTTTTCGCATTTCCCCCTTGAAGTATCCCGCCGATGAGGCCCTCATACAACCTACCCCTGCTAGGAGCGGAGAGCAGCAAAGGTCTTCGCGCGTCTCAGGCATTGTAGCTACAGGAATGCGAGTTCAGGTAGGCCCCAACACGGTGTGAAATCTTCAGCCGCCGAGCTAGCAGAAGTCCAGCACTGTGCTTGTTCCGTCTGTCTGTACATATATCTTCTTTTCAAACGGATAGAAGGGTCTTATAAGAACAAAGTTCCTGAAGGGCTGATGCGTTTTCTTCTAGCTGCGGTGCGAATTGCTTGTGAAATTTTTGGCATTCACGTTTCACGCGTTGTTCTCTTTAAGCTGTGCAGGTTTGGGTGTCCTTCACGCCAACGCCTGAGACACCGGAGGCTAGGGGTGTGCTGGAGCTGCACACTGAGAAGGGCTCATTCGCAGTGCCTGTAAACCTTTCAGTTACTGCGCTTGCAGGAAAAGCTCAAGCTTTGAATAGCTCCTTCGCGTTACTAGTCCCGTCCCATCAGTTGTAACTGGCAACGTCTAGCAGAGGCCTGAGCCTCCCGCTCTTAGTTCAAATTTCCCAATTGAAAGATCTTTTAGCTCTTTACCAGACGCCATACTAATTCGGAAGCCCAGAAGATTAGCTGCTGGCTCGTGCACTGCATGTTTCCCCTGCACCACAGCATTGCTTCGCCAGGCATGTGCCTAGGGGACAGAGAACAGCAGCGGCTGTTGTGTGCCTGTTGCCGGCTTCCTGCAGGTCGTAGCTCGCAAAGAGCCGCCCCTCTTGGTGTCTCTGCCTCGGTTTCTGAACTTCAAAGCAGTTCGGCCGGGAGAAGTAGCTGTTCTGGAGTGAGACGGCTCCAGTCCATAAAGCTGTCTCCACTACAAAAAACAACATGCAGCAGTCACACCTTATCAGACTTTAGTGCTGCTTACAGCATTATGATCAGGCTGACCTTTTTCGGGTGGAACAACCGTTAGCTCTCTTTTCAGGCGCCTTATGGTTTCCTGTGGCTACTCTTATGGCTCCCTTTGCTTCTTAATGCCTGCGTGGAAGGCCTAACTGCTTCCATCGCCGTTGTGAACAGCCTGCAGAAGCCCACGGCCGTACATGTTGTCCCCTTTGATCAACACTGTTGCTGTCTGGCAACGTAAGTGCAGCTACTGCTGTCCCTGCGGCCTGCAGGCTGCCCCTGAGGAATGGGGGAGGAGAAGCCGTCCTGAGGCCGTTGGTTGTGCCCGCTGACACCCCGCATTGCTCACAATCTGTACCCCTTTCACTTGACACTGGAGGAACGTCAGTGGCTTCCGTAGTAGCCGGAAAAGCATCGGCAGAAGCAGCAGCATCTCCTGCTGGCTACGGGATACATCACAGGCTTGAAGGTGGCGGGGACGAAGCCTTTGAAGCAGTTGCTCAAGTGGTGCTGTTGCCTCGGGGGCACCCAAGTGCTTCTCTTTGGCTGCGCTTCTTCCCACGGCGGCCTGGCCACTTTGTTGCCTCTCTGTTGCTTGTTTCTGCTGGGTCGCCAGGAGAAGAAATCCCCTGCCTTGGTCGGGTTGAACTGAAGGGATTCGCTGAGGGTGCTGCGTTGACCCTAAAGGACTTTTGCGGGGTTCAGTGGCCTGCTGGCTGCCTTCCGGGGTTGTTTGCGGGACTATGCCCTTCTCTAGCGATTGACGCACAATGCGCTGCAGATGCTTTAGTTAGAAGTCGGCTGTTCATGTCTGAAGAAGCAGCGCCAACAGGAGGAACATCGGCAGCAGTAGTAACGCCAACAGAAACACAAACAGGAGCAGCAATAGCAGGAGTCAAAAGGGGCGATTTCAGCTGTCGCTATTTCGATGAAGACATGTTACCGCCTAATGAAATATCCATCATACGAGCAATAACTTATTGGCTCCCACGACGTCTCGACTTCGGTTCTTCTCTGGTACCTCCTCACCAGGGAACATCAGCAGCACCAGCAGAACCAGCAACAATGGCACCAGAAGTACCACCAGCAGTCGTGGGGGTGGCCACCTCTTAGGGTATTTCCGTTGTTGAGCATCTTAGAAAGGACCCAAGGAGAGCTGCGTGTCGCTTCTAATCCACCTCATATGCGCCTTCTTTGCTACGTTACAGCGGGGGGGTCCTCCCATCATCCGCACAGTGACTCTTTGCAACGAAGGGAGACTGCCCATACGCGTCCAGTGGCGCTGCGCTGCAGCAGCAGCAACTGCAACAGCAACTGCAGTCGAAGAGAGTTATACTACTGCGAGCGAGGCTTTTTCGGTGTCCCCGCCTGAGGCCGTCCTGTTAGCCCAAAGCTGTGTTTCCTTCTCCTTCGCCGTCGACCCCCGTCTGCTGTCACCTAGCGCGTCGCCCCTGCCTTGGCCGGGTAGCAGCACTGGCACCAGCAGCAGCAGCTCCAGCAGCAGCAGGGAAGGCATTAGCAAACTGTTTTCGTCTGCATTTTCCCTCTGGGTGCGCAGGTGCTGCCAATTGATCTCAATAGAGGCACACTACTTCTGACATGGACTCCTGCAGTCGCCCCTGATCAATTCGTTTGCCTGTTTATGACTACCTTCCCTTTTTCATCTTTCTCTGCCTTTGTTTTCATGTCTGATTCTGTTTATCTTCGTCTCTGTCTGCGTCGAGTGTGCAGATTGTGGGCATCTCTCGAAGGGCTCTTCTTTCCCCACGTGTGCTGCTGACGCACTTTGAGACTCCCCCATGCACCATCTCAGATGCGCAGCAGCAGCAACACCAACACAACGCCAACAGTGAGACACTGCTACAGTGGTTCCCGCTGCTGTTGCCGCTGCAGCCGGAGCATTCCGCTGCCAAGCAGGCTGAGAGCGAGGATGCGAACTCTCTTAAAGCTGCAGAGAAAACCGATGAAGGGCTGAGAGACTGGCAGCTGCTGCTGCTGCAGCAGCGTGTCACCTTAGAGGCTCCCAAGGTGAGGGTTTACGCGCCCTCTCAGCTGCAGGGAGGCCCCTTTGCTCTGAGGCTGAGGCCTGCTGCAATTCAGACCGTCCCCTTTAGACTGAAGAATGAAGGTGGTTCTCAAATCCGGATGGCTGTACACCGCAACTTGCGTTCCCTTAAAGTGAAATGGCGAAGACCACAAGGCTGCTGCTGTAGCAGCAGGGGCAACAACAGCAACAACAGCAGCAGCAATCCAATCACAGGAGAATACTACAATACAGCTTGGCTTCTCCATGTTGAAGACAACGAAATGGAGGGGCTTGAGGGACAAAAAGACGCGGCAAGCAACTGGCTTGCCAAAATTCTAAACCCTAAACCCTAAACCTTAAACTGGAAACCCTAATCCTTCAACCATAGCAATAAACTATATTGGAGGAATTCACTGACCTTTACCTGTACTTTCTTCTGCAGGTCTTTGGATATGGTCCACAGCCTTTCGGTTTCTTTTCCCTTTGCGCTAAAGGTGGAGGCCTCATTCCTCCACAGACAGACGAGCAGCTGCTGCTGCGGCTGCTGCCGCTTTGCTGTGGCACCATATCTTTTGAGCTGCCTCTCTCTGTCTTCCCTCCTCAACCCGCAGATACCTACCCAAAGTCAGCTGCACCAGAACAACAAGCTGCAACAGCAGCAGGAGGTACTGCAGCAGCTGCTGCAGGAGACGGCAATGAGATAAAAGCAGCAACAGCCACAGCAAAACGGGAAGCAGACGCTGAAGAACAGCTGCGAGTGACCGTGCCGTTCTCTGTGGAGGTGACGGTTCCTACCGTGACTTCGCATTGGCCCCCGCAGCTCAACTTTGGCACAGTGAGGCCCCCTTAAAAACGCTGTTGGTCTTCCATTTCACCTCCTGCAACAGCAGAGGCTGCAGCATCATCAGAGCAAGAATCGAGGATGAGATAGCTTTTAACTGTTTGTATGTGCATCTGCTGCTGCTGGTCTCTGCAGGTGAGGGCGCACAGTCGCACCAGCCGCGGCCTCCTCGTCGTCAACACTTCCCAAGACCCGGCTGTCGTGAGGGTTCGAATCCCAGCAGCAGCAAACAACTGCAGCGCATCCACTGACACTGATCTGCTTCAGGCAGCCAGTGAAAGCACTGCCGCTGCCTTCCCCTGCCATTTGGCCTCTTCTCTGGTGCGCGCCCCTACAGAGGACCCGCCGCGACATGCAGCTGCAGCTGGTGCATCAGCTGCATCGCCACGAACAACGACGACCCTCACGTCTACACCCGTACCTACAACAGCAAAATCCGCCGGTTCTGTTAACAGTACTGAGGGGACCATTACAGAAACGACAGCAACAGCAGCAGCAGCGGCAGCTGTAGCAGGACGTCCTGGTGCGTCTACGGCGGCAGGTGAAGAGTCGGCTATCGGCTTGCCCTCCTGTGTAGGGTGCCTGTGCATTGATGAGTCCCTACGCTCTGCTGAGCCCTTTTTCTGCAACCCACTAAAGGCAGCAGCAGACGCTGCAGCAGCAGCAGCAGAAGCAGCAGCAGCAGCAGCAGGAGCTGCAGCAGCAGCAGCAGCAGACGCTGAGGTGACAGCAGGAAGCCCAATTGCAGCAGCAGAAGGACGAGCTGTTGAAGCCGAAGAGTTCGCTTCAGTGCAACAGCAGCAGCAGTTGGCCCTGCAGAAGCATTTGCTGGAGTGGAAGTTCCAACAAGAGCTAGCAAAACAGCAGCAGCAGCGAGATCTGCTAGAGCCGCAGGTGGTGACAGGCTTGTCGGGGCAGTTGGTCGTGTATCCTTCTCACGCGCTGCTTCCCCCAGGAGGTGCTGCGGTTTTCTTGGTGACACTGAGGGCCTCCCACCCCCAGGCGCTTTGTTCCTTTTTGTTTGTAAGTTTCCCGAAGTGTGCCGCTGCTCTGTAATGTCTGTACAGCGGGCAACCAGTCAGTACTGTCTGTGGATCCCTGATATTACCCAGTACCGTAGACATACACTGCTTCACCACCCAGCAAGGTGTATATACTCCAGATCATCACCCAATGCAATGCAGTTACAGCTAATATCTGCCCAATGCAGTGTATGTACTGGCATCTGCGCATTCAAGGGTAGGCACAGCACGTAGGCTCTACTGAACGGAGTATATGAACATAGAACCACGGGGAAACAGAGAGATATTCAGCGATGAGATGGAGGGGACAACCGCTGAACATCTGCATTGTGCGATGTACTATTGGCAGCTGGAGACTCTTGAGGGAAGCGAGCTTCTCCCCGTTGCTGTTGAGGCCCGCACAGCTCTCCCGCTCTTGCGCCTCAGCAGCCACCACCTGCAGCTGCCGCCGCTCTTCTTACTACAGCCGCGGTTGCTGCACCAAAAGCTGACTCTGTACAATGATGGAGACATTTCAGTCAAAGTCCGCTGGAGCTCGCCTACACCCTTAGGAACTGAGCAAACCCGGCAGCAGCCGGAACAGCAACAGAAGCAGCTGCAGCAGCAGCAGGTCTTGCGGTCGATTGCGCCTGTTTTTGGTGGCAATAGGCAGGGCGGTTTGCTGCTGTCACTGTCTCCTGCCGAATTTGTTCTGTTTTCCCACAGTAGCAGGACAGTGGAGATAACGTGTGTCGGCCTCTGCGTATCTCCGCACTTGGAGGCGAGGGCTTACTGCAGCGGACAGGGTCTGTTGTTGCCACTCCAGGTCTCCTTTGTTGCTGCATGCAGCGGAGCCTCCATCACTTACGCTCTCTTTTCACAGCAGGAACTTAAGACAGCGGAAGCCCTGCTTCTGCAAGCAAAATTCCAGCAGCAGCAAAGCCCGCGCAAACAGCAGGAGCACCCCTCGCAAAGCCCACAGTCTCAGGCACTTAACCTTGTCCAGCAACCGCAGGAACAACAGAACCAAACGGAAGAGCCGCAGCAGCAGCGCGAGCAGCACCACGAATACCAGCATGTGCCGCAGAGCACCCGAAATGAAAACATGCGCGACATTGCCAGGGGCTGTTTGCGTCCGCAGACAGCCAACGCTAAAGCAACATCAGCTGGGTCGGCGGCCGCCCTCAAGGGTGCAGGCATCGGCCACTGGGGTTCCTTACAGCAGCAGGGAAGCGGTGAGAGACATGCGCCAGAGGCAGCTGAAGAACTCAGGACGCAAACAATCGCTGCAGGAGGAGAAAGCGTATTTCTTTATCTCCTTGCTGTCAACAACTCTCCCATACCCGCCTTCCTCCAGCTGCAGGCGTTCACACATGGACAAATGCACCAGAACGACCAGCAGCTGCTTCCGCAGCAGCAGCGCCAGAACCAGCAACTGAAGCACCCCACACACTGGGACGACGGCCGACCCGCTGGCGCCTTCACATGCAATGACTGCAACAGCAGCAACAGGAACAGCAGCAACGGGCGCTGGGAAAGCACGGGGTGCAGCAGCAGCAGCAGCAGGGGGAACCTCTCTGCCTGGATTGATCTCATGGACTCCTGCTCGACCGCGCGCACAGATAGCAGTAGCAGAAGCAGTAGTAGTTGCAGCAGTAGCAGTAGCAACAAGAACAGTAGTAGATGCTGCAGCCGAAGTACTACAAGCAGTAACAGCAGCAGAGCGTTGATGCCATCTCAGACCGCTGAGGCGTTGCTGCTACAGGCAGCTTCTTGTTCTGCTCCTGTTGAGCTGCGGCAGCTCGTACCTGGGGCCTTTGGTGTACAGCGGCCCTCCTTCAAGGCCACATCGGGTGTACGTACACTACATGCAGCAGCAGCGAGGCAACGGAGGCGCAGGCTGCAGCGCACAGCCCCAGGAGGCTTAGTGCTCATTTCCCATCCCGAAAGCCGCTTGCTTTTACAGCAGCATCAAGCAGTGCTCCTGGCTATTGAGATGTTTGCTGCCGTCCCCGCAGATTTTTCTGCTGTCCTGCAGCTGTGCCTCGAGCCTTGCCAACCACAGCTGCAGCACGATTTGCAACAGCTGCAACTGCGTGTTCAGCAGCATTCGCAGCAATACCCACAGCAGGAAGTGGCGATTATTCCGCTGAAAGTGCCGGCGAGGGGTCCGTTGCTGCTGCTACCACCCTTGCAGCAGCGCCTCCGTCCCCGCAGCGGCCTGCCGCCTCTGGTAACCGCCGAAGTGATGCTGCAGCAGCAGAATGTGGTGGCGAGAGAGCAGCAACAGCAACTGCAGCAGAAGCACCTCCAGATCGCAAGCCTCACTTCCTATCGAAAAGGCGGCAGGCTTATCCCCCTTAAGCCTATCTCTTACAAAAAGCATACTCCCGTCCAAGCAGCAGGCACAACGAACGTGCAGCAGCGACAGCAAGAGCTTCTGGTGCAGCAGCAACAAGAGGATGAAGAGCAAAGCGTAATGTTTAAGGTGGAGAATAACACCAACCAGTGGCTGCGAGTTCAATGGCTGCTCTATGACATGGGCCTATGGGAAATTCAGCAGCAGCTGCAGCAGCAACTGCAGCAGGTAGCCACGTTGAAGGACCTCGCTGTTGAGGTGCTGCGTCGCCGAGCAATCGATGCGGCTCGTGAGGCAGTAGCAGCAGAAGCAGCAGCAGAAGCAGCACAAGCAGCAGCAGCAGCCGCTGCTGCTGCTGCTCCCGTGGCGCCCGTTGCAGCGGTGCGGAAGCCACTGAGATCTCAACAAGGAAAAGCCCCTGACACGGCTGCTCTGGCAGCGGCGGCAGCAGCAGCGGCTGCTGTTGCTGCTGAGGAAGCGTCGATGAAGGCTGCAGAGGCTGCGGCTGCTGCTGCGTCTGCTGGTATAGTAGAAGCGATCGACGGGTGGCAGGCATTAGCGGTAGCAGATGCCTCAGCAGCAACCGTAGCTGCACCGGCAGCAACCGTAGCCGCACCAGCAGCAGCCGTAGCCGCAGCAGCAGCAGCAACAGCAACATCTGATTTGAGAGGGGCTGCATCACCTACGGATCCTCAGATGAGAGTCTCAGGCGACCGTCAGAGGTACAAGGATGCGGTAGAAAAAGCAGCCACAGCAAATGCAGGAGTGTCAAAAGAAGCCTCCACTTCTGCAGCAGCAACAACGAGTGCAGACGTAGGATTGCAACCAGCAACAGCAGCTGTTGCTACGAAAGGGAAGACGGAATCGGAAGAATCAGAAGGGCTTACACCGGAGCTGTTAGAGGGAAATGAATCTGGGCTAGTGCCTCCTGAGCACTGCTTGGTTACTGTTGCAACACTTCTCTCCCATGAGGCGAGGCCCGTTGCTGCTGCTGCTGCTGTTCTCGCCTCCCTCCAGCCTCCCGCTGTGCCGGTGTGCCCTCAGCCGCTCTTGCAATCCGCACCTCAGGGTGAAGCAGGCTGCCATACTGCAAACGTCTCCAGCTCTCTTTGTCAGGCAGCTGCTCCTTTTGCTGCTGTTGCCCCTGTCCTTCTTCCTGCTGCTATTCCTGTTGCTACTGCTGTTGCTGCTAACTCGAAGGGAGGGAAGTGTCTCGTGCCTGCTGGAGGTGCAGCGGCCTGCTGGAAAACGGCAGCACCAACGCGGTCTTCCGATGCTTCCTTAGCAGCTGAGCTCTCCGCATATGAGGAGGGCTGCAGCAGCGGGTCCATGCGCGGCAGCACCCACTGCAGTGTTCAGCTGGAGCTGACGCGCAAAGGCTCTCTGGATATACGGCCCACACCATGTGGAGCTGCTGGCAGTGCCGCTGCAGTTGCAAGTGCAGCAGCCTCAGGAGGTGAAGTACTCTTTAGAAGACCACGTGAAACAGCACTTGGAGGAAGGCCAGCAGCGTCCACAGCAGCAGCTCTAAATAGTGCAAGTGTGCCTAAGGAATTTGTCGTCCCCTGTGTAGAACCCTCTCCCTGTCTGATAGCCCCCTACGGCCTCGCAGAGATGTCCTTACGCTGTGGTTGCCTGCTATTGGCTCCAGGCACACACAGACTAAGAGCAGTGGCTCTTGCAGAGCCCGTTCCAGCTGATATAGCACGACGGGAAGCAGCACGATCAGCAGGAGCAGCACGAGCAGCGCCTACCCATGCTGCCCCTGCATCCTGCTTGACTCCACCGTCTCCTCATCAGGGTTCATCTGCGACGGGCATTCGCGAGACTGCTGCAGCTGCAAACAGTGCCTCCCCTGATTCACCTGCTACTGCTTCAGACATTGCTGGTGCTGTGTCAGTCTGCGATGTTGCTGTAGCAGCTCCTGTAGCATGTGCCGCTGTGCCCTTAGTCATAGACTTCAACGTGCGCACGTTGCCCCCCAATTTACGCATGCTGTGGGAGAGGGACCACTCGTCAGCAGCAGCGTCGGACACTGAAGCAGCAGCAGCAGCAGAAGCCAACGAAAAAGGAGAAGCAGCTCCACGCACAGGCGATTTGGGGACCCTTTGGTTTGCTGCCCGAGAGTGCATAAATGACAACGGGAATACTGCGGGAACAGCAGGTTCCGCTCTTGCTGCCACTCCCCTCCGTAAGGAGCTCCTCCTGCAGCCAGCCAGGCACTGCGCCACCGTCCGCTGCGCGGTCTCCGTTACAGGAAATGCTTTCAAACTAGTCAAAGCAGAGCTGCTACAACAGCAGCAGCAGCAGCAACCACAACAACAACAACAACACCAAGAACAGCAACAGCCACAGGAATTGCCCCTAGGCAAGCAGGTGGTACGTCACGCAGTCACCAAAGGTCGTCGGAGCCCCTTTAAAAGTTAATTCGCCTCGCCGAGTAACCTGGTGAATAAGGGGTAGCAGTTTAATATTGTAGGATCATGACATTATTCCCTGGTGCTGCTGCTGTTGCTTGTGTTGCTGCTGGTTCTGCTGTGTCTGATGGATTGTTGCCGCTGCAGGCGGTAACTATTCAGCGGAAGCAGCAGCTGCGGCTGGTGGTGGAGTTTTCGCTTCCGTTTGAGGAGGCAAAACAGGATGGTGAACACAGCCACTGCAGCAAAGTATGCTGCGGTGAGTTATCCGTTACATTTCCAGAAACGGTCCCACCTTCCTGGAGCAACGAAGACGCGGATTTAGCGCGGCTGTTGCTGTCACTGACACGACAGGCAATGCATCAGCTGCAGCACCACCAACTAGTAACAGACAGCGATGAGCCCCTCTGCGAACCGCTCCTCTGCGGCATGCTTCGACTCTTGCGGCCACAAGAAGATCCACGCGCCTTCTTGTCGCTCGGGCTTGCTGCCCTCCGGCAACAGCAGCAACAAGACCAGCAGACGCAGCAACAACAACAACGTCTGCAAGTGAAAGCGCAGCAGGAACAACAGCAAGAAGAACAAACCGAACACTCCAAGCGTTTGCTGCAGCTGTTGCGGTGCGAGAAGCTGGTGCACCGCCTCGATTTATTTTGGCCCGTTGCTTCAGAAGCAGCAGCTGCTGGGCTAGCAGCTCGAGGAGCCGTGGGGCCTTCCACCACTTTTGGTTACTTCGGCAGAAGCGCCTTAGCACGAGCGACACCCCCTGCGCCTGTTGCTGCTTTGGGGGTAGCGAGGTCGGCAACCACTCAGGTTGTGTCTTTAATAGGCGCTTGCAGGAAGACAATAATGCTGCTGTGGGCACCGCCACTGCAATCCGCATCAGCAGCAGAAGAGGCGGTAGAAGTAAAAAGCTTCTGGGCTACATATCGCGATCCCAGAACCCCACTCTTGATCGATTTCGGCACAACACACATCCAGGCACGCAGGCGGCCCTGCAGACTGCTGCAGCTCCGCGCCGTCTCTACGGCCGCTGTGAGTTGGCAACTCAGTGCATGCAGAAGCAGCAGCAGCAAATGGGAGTTCCCCGAAAGTGAACAGAAGCCACCCACTGAAGGAAGCCCAGATCGAGTGCGCGAGGTGTTCTGCTGCTCCCTCCAATCCCTTAGCCCTACACCCGTACACCCAAAGCACCGAACTACGAACAGAAGACGTTGAACTCCAGGGGGAATGGGAGCATACCTCGGGTGTAGGGCGCTGTACGGCTATGCAGGCGTTTGTTTTGACTGAGGAAACGAAAGTGGGCGAGGTCGAGGCATTTGTGTTCTGTCCTTCTGAGGGAACGCTGCCTTGCTTCCTGGCTGCAGATGCGAGCAGCCGCAGCTGTAGCAGCAGACACAGTTGCGAAGCCGGAGCCACCATCCGCATATATTTCGTGTCCGCAAGATACACTGAGTATTTGCTGCTGCAAGGCAGTAGCAATCTGCTTGCTGTTGCTGTTCTGCTTCACTCTGTTTGCATCTGCAGTGCAGCCAACGAAACGATTTTGTTTGCGGCGTTTTATTTGATTGTTTTGCATTGGTGGTATTTTTGCCGTTGGGTCTGTCCATGTCTCTGTGTGCTGCACTTCCTCGTACGGGGCACCGCTGTTCTATCTGTTCAGAGTTTGAGCATTACATCTCTCCTAGCCTTCTTGTTTCCTGTCATTTGCTCCATGTGGCAACTACATTGCTCGTGCATTGTGTCTGTATTTGGGCTCATTTCTGTGTGCGACCCTAGCGTTCGGCGTTCACGGTGCTGCGCTGTTCCCGATGCCTGCCAGCTTCCGTTCATCCCCTTGTTGCTGCGTGTCTGTCGTTGTGTGCCATTAACGCCCAGGCCGCCACACGTAGGCCTCCATTTCTGCCTCTTCCGACTCTCTGCGGACTTCGCACCCCACCAATTCGTGGCTCTGCGGGGAGTTGCTACTACAGACGAGGCATTCGACGTCTCTGCGAACTTGGGCTTCAGCGAGGCCCACTACCCCGTCAACAGCACGCCCTGACACCCACATATGCCCCACCCAACCCTTGACTTACTGCGCAGCAATAAGTCATTACAGCGCCGATGGCCTCTTGTACTTAAATTTGAGACGCTTGCGCGTACATACAAGGCACTTGCTCAAACTAAGCGATCAGCTAAGCTAGTGTGTTTATCAGGGTTTCGCTGGGAGCAACAGCGAGACGTGTGTCTCCGTTTATTGGTCTCTCTTGCAACCCTGCAACTGTGTCCCGTGCTCTGGGACGCTCGACAGTGAGGCGCTCAAAGCTCTCGGAAGCCGCTGGAGCTGCAACGATGGCTGTCCCCAGTTTGTCTTCAGTTTGCTGGTGACTGCTCCTACAGTTTCTGTGGTGAAAGGCGGTCGCCGGATGCATTGCTGCTGAGGACGGCAGCAGGCAGCCCCTCAGAAAGAACTTACGTGAGAAGAGCGTCGCCTCGATTCCAGAAAAGAGGAATGCAGAGGCAATGGAGACTGTCTTGAAAAGCAACAATCCCTGCACGTGCGGTACAGCTGCTGTTGTACTCCATGTCAGGCAGCCCCTGGGCTCAAGTAGACCCCCAACTGCAGCACCTGTGCATAGCCATGTATGTACTTAGGGCCACGCCCCTGCTGCCGCGGTGGGTGCAGGTGCAGCGGGAACACGCAGCAGGTGCCGGTCTGCTAGCAGAAATGTTGCCACAGCAAAATAGCTCCCAGAATGCCCAAAAGAGGTGCTGACCGCTGCGCTGGGGAATGCGGAATTTGGCTCAAGCCCACAAAGTAGCTGTGCGCCCCTTCGATATGGTGCGGCTGCCCTGAGGGTTTCGTTGGGGGCCTTTGTAACCTCAGAACGCAACGAGACACCATATAGCCAACGCACCGCTCCTGCGGTCTCTAAGAAGTAGTGGTTGCCAGCCCAAAGAGGCCCTACCGGGAGAGGGATCCGTAGTGGGCCTGAAGAGCGCTAGAAACCTAAGGTACTCAAATATAACCTGTTGCCCGTCCCTTTACACTACAAAGGAGGCAGCAAAACCTGCTGCAGATGCTTCAAAAACCAAACGCCCGTGTTGGCCCAGAAATCCGCGTCCGCCGCCGGGCCGTCCAGGCTGTGGTTGTCTTCCGGGTACCACAGCAACTTGTTTTTCTTCCCTGCAGCAGCACCATCGAAAACGTGCAGAGAGCCCTTATAGCGCATAGAACATAAGCTTACCTGTACATGGAGTAGTGCTTTTGAGAAGGCGACGTTAGCGAGACAGACCCTGGGCATTGAGTAGCCGCCAGAAGAGAAGCCCTTGCGAAGGAGGCACCTGCGGAAGTCAACAAACAAACAAGCACTTCTCAAGGCAGAATAGAGCACACAGAACCCTGTGGCCTCACAGGAAAAACGCTGAACTGTTGGGCGGGCTAGGCGTTCATTCCCTTGTTGCAGCAGCAGCTGCTGCTGGACGGCCGCTCGCTGCTGCACCAGCAAAGGCCAGTGGTCTGCTACTGCTGCAGCAGAACCTCTTGCTGCTGCAGCAAAAGAAACTGCTGCTGGTACAGCACACGCATATGCTACTCCTACAGCGGCGGGACAGCCGAGAGCTCACGCGCTGGTCTTTACCGCCAACGGCAAGGAGGAGAGGCGTCTGTACAGCACTGACGAACTCCGTCGGAGATAGCCGCTGCATTTGCTGCAGAGACGCCTCAGAGGGTGTCTTTGAGAAGGCAAAATCTTCTCCACACGACACCGGGAACACGAAATCTGATCGCATCGAACAATACACGAAACGCTGGCAGTCGGCGACGGAAAACGAGGGAGGCGGGGAACCGAAACAGATAGGCACAGAAGGGGAGAGACAGAATGAGAGAGAGAGAAAGCGAGCGAGAGACAGACACACAGACAAAGAAACCGGGCGGGCGGATATGGGGAAAAATGTGTAACCAGACAGTAAAAGCGGGGTAGAAAGGCATCGGTACTGAGAAGCTGACAGCGAGTCACAGACACAGCTGGAGTTAGATATCGACAAACTCCAGCTGCAACAAAACAGAGCGCTGGCAGATAGCGCCAGAAACAAACGATGCGAGGGCCAGACAGAAAAAAGAGAGAGGGCAGGACGAAGCAACACGACGTATCAAATTGGAATCGCCTCCCGATCTCCCCTGGACCGAACTCCCAAAGCGGCAGCATGCGGTGCAGTTGCTGGGGCATAAAACCCCAACACTCCTTTATTTTGAAATAGAGGGACGGAGGAAGCAGCATGCAGAGACACGAGAGAGAGAGACAATGGGGGGACTGTGGGGAACTAAGACACTGAAGTAAGGACACGAAATGCAGCACAGGAGAATTGAGTAAGCAGACATAGGGGAGACAACCACTGCTGCCACTGCCGCTCCTGGTGCCTTCAAGAACACCTGGAATATCAGAGGTGGAGTACATTCCCGGGATGTAGGTCACAGGGTTGCGGGCGGAGGCGGCGCAGAAGAGGGAGGGATACTGCAAGGGCCGCAACAGGAGAAAAGGCAGGTTAACAGAGTGAAGCAACGCAATGAAAGTCGCAAAATGGTTATCAAGCAACAGCAAAACAAGCGCCCCGGAAGAATCATAGAACAAATACAAACCGAAAAAATCCAATCCGGTTCGCAGATCCCAAAAGAACTAGACAAACACCCTTGCGCACCCTGTGCCCACTGCGAAGCAACGCTGTGTTGCAATTTGGGAGCAAACCCCTTGACCATAAACTCTATCACCCGCACGCACAGCAGGGAGCGTGCAGATAGTAGCCAGGCCACAGATACATGTATGCTCAACCCCTCTCACCTGCCCAATGAGGTGGCAGCAGAGGAAGCCTCCGTGTGAACCTCCAGCAGCAACGCAGCGAGTAGGGTCGTATCCGAATCTGAGCCTCAAAAAGCAGATATGTGCGGCACCTCCGCTTGGATGTTTGTTTAAGTGGATAAGGGACGGCATCTCTCTACTCAACGCAGGCTGCCTCTCTCTTCACTCTTCACTCTGCTCAATCAGGCACACGAAAAACTGCAGAAGTGGCACTCGCTGCTTATTAAGCAATTCCAGTCCCTGTCCCTTGACACTCCCTCGCGAGCTTGGGAGACACACAAATTTCACCATGATCAACGCCAGAGAAGAGGAATGCATGAAATAGAAGGCGTGGTCTCGCCACCGCTGGGTTCTGCACCTGTCAATTACATGCTGTACAATCTCCGCCACGTCATCAACGTCTTGTCGACCTGCCCGCCCTGCAATACCAGCAGCAAAAGCAGTGAGTAGCTCTTCCTAACTATTCGAAGGCAATTTCTTGAGCTAATAGGTTGCGTATTGGGGACCGTGCAGCTGAAGAAATAGTCGGGAAGCGAACGCTCCTTTTCCTCAAGTCTTGGAGGGCCCTGACAAAACCGAAATGCCTTATACCCTTTAGTGCCCCTTTTGACGTGAAGGGCAACTGACACAGTTGCAACGATGCTGTGAATCTAAAACCCTAAACTCTAAACTTATAAGCAGGAAGGGGGCTGCACAAAGACCGCGACGGACCGTGCACCGATAGCAACTCCTCCTGGCCGAACCCCGCAGAACCTCGGTAGTTAACCGCCAGCACGTCGAAGCCCAAGGTTGTAAGAAAGAGAACGTCCCGGCTGTACGTACAGCTCGCGCAAGAATGGGGGCCCCCATGGATAAGCACCGCAAGGCTCGGGTCCGCTGGGCCCTTGGGGGGCTTCCCGAGGCGGATCAGCCAGTGACGTTGAGCTTCCAAGTGATATAGCGACAGAGTCGCCATATGGAGCTGCAGCTTCTTCACGCCCTGCCAAGTCACACACACCCGCAACACAGGTCCAAGCATATTTACAGGTTCGGGGGCATATAAGCTATCGAGTTCCCCTTAGCCTGAGTATGTGTGATATGATGGCATCCATTGTGGCATCCGGCCTGCTGCTGCTGCTGCCGCTTGTACTGAATGCGTCTCCTGACTGTAGCGTTGCCCCAAAGCGAACACAGAAATTCTCGAACAGTACGTCACGCGAGAATGACCCCAACAATTCGCCCCAGGAAGCAGTAAGCAGCAGCTGCAGCTGCTGCTGTTGCTGCTGGCCCCTCACTCCATTAAAGGCCCCCTCCGGCCCCCCTCTCAGGGAGAAAGCATCAACGAGTTCGGCGATGAGGGGAGGTCCTGTGGGGTCGGTTTGGTCTTGTGGTTCGTCCAGCACTGTCTGATCTTTTATCTTAGCAACGACCAACACGGGTGCATGTACTGGGCTGCTTGCCTGGACAAGCAGCCAGAGTCCCCAACTATCTCGTAGCAGCACGTCTCCTACTGCTGCTGCTGCTGCTGCTACCTTTACGTCTGCAGGCGTATTGGGGCCGTTGACGCATTCAAACTGCACCCGCCTCACTCCCAGGCCGGTAGCTGCAGCATAGCGCCCCACAGCCGTGTTCCCCCACCCCCGAGTCCCTCAAAAAGGATTCGACCCTGAGCTCCAGGAGCTCACCTGCCCTGTAGGAGCCCCCAGCAGCTTGGTAGCTATAAAAAGGATGCAGTTGTTCAGCAGTGGCTTGTGAGGCGGAGGATATCAGCTGCAGGGCAGAATGGGGTTATTACCTTCAGTGCCTGTACAGACCGCAACGACTGCCTGGCGGCAACCAATGAGAGTGTTTGCCAGAAGGAACCCACGGCTCCTCCAGGGGGGAAGCTGGTAACAGGCGAGGCCCTGGAAGGTGCGCAGTTGAGGGGTTCTTGGTAGCCCGCCCCCCCGCAAGGGCCCCGCCACGCAAATACAGTTTCCCAGAGAAGACAGGAGGGACCCCTCCTCGTGCTGTCCTGTAAAGTTCAATTTCTCCTTGGCTTGCAGCTGCTGTGCACGGGGGCCATCATGGAGGCACGGACTGACACTGACAACTGTTCGGCGACCTGTCACGACCCATGGGGCCCTCACGCCATCCCGCGCCAGCGTTGCAACACGGAGGCGGGCGTTTCCGAAATGGGGCCTCGTCTCCTACACAGTTTACGCCCAGCGCATAGCGAGATTTCTTTGCGAACAAAGCCCTCAAGCTGGGGAGTGTCTAAGATGCATATTGCTAGGATTTGGCGCGCCTAAGGAAAAGGAACAGCAGGGACCTCTGCTTTACTTGAGGGTCATCTGCCAGCGCCAAGTAGGCGACTTCAAAGCTCAGCAGCGGCCCCTGCAACGCCGCAGCGGACTCGCAAACTCGTGGGTTCCAAGCAGCCCAGTCCTCGTCCCCGGAGACGCGCACCCACGACGCCTGCAAGGGCTTCTGCTGGCCATTTTCTTGAGGGCCGATGTTGCGCAGGGCTCCACCAACACCCCCCACTGGGAATGAGGCCAAGAACACAGCAGAGCGCCTGTTTACGCAGAACCTCAAACCCAGTCTGAGACAGCAAACACCCATACCCAAAGCCCTACAACCTACACACTGAACACAAACCCCCAAATCCCTCCTACCCCAAACACTAAACAATTGATCCCGAAGCCAATACACCCTCGAAGCCGCAGCACCACGCCAGCGACACCCAGGCAGGCGGAGGTCGCCGGCAAATACGTACCTGTATGGTTCAGGCGGCAGCTCCGTGCAGATGATGCCAGACCCATCAGGCACAAAAGAAGCCTACAGAGCCGAAGATGGAAACCCCAGACCCTATTTCTGCCTCTCTTAACCCCAAACGAAAACAAGCCCGTGAACCCCTGGAATCCCTAAACTGTATGCCGGCACTTCCCAGGGAGAAGACAAACCTGTGCGCAGCTAATTCCACTCTGTCGGTGCAGCAGGGGGGCCAAGGTAGGCGGGGAGATGCTGCCGACGATCACCACTCCTCGAGAGTGCTGCGCCAGCTGCTCACCCCAGGTCTCCTTGTAACAGAATTTATCTAAAGGGGAGCCAGCTTCTTTCTGAGGCACCTCCGCTATGTACAAAAGCCTACAGAGCAACACCGGCATCAGCCTCCAGTAGCTTGCTGATGTGTGGGGCTACAGTGCGACCATGCATGCCTGTTAGCGCAGCTGCAGTTCTTTCGGGTCTGCCGAGGTCTGCTGCTGCATGCAGCACCAAACCGCAACTTAACCGTCGAAAGCAGCTTGAGGCTAGTAAGGACTTACAGATTTTCATCTTGGGGGCAGAAGGAGCCGCCCCCATAGGGACTCAACCAAGGAATTCCGTGGGGCGCAAGCAGACACAACGCGCAGCCCAGAGATCGGCTGCCTGCTGCTCCCCACACCTCCAGCCGGTGCAGAGGCGAGGTCGACGCAGAGGTGCACAGACTCTTCGCTTCAGGGGGGACAGATGTTACCTGCGCCACGAGCCCGCCTGCGCGACAACCGACAAACCCTAAACCCGACACCCTAAATTCGCAGTCCTGAACCCAACGGTCTTGCTCCGAAAACCACGAGCAGAAGTATCGTTTGCATGGAGCACATCAACCGCTCAACTGCATATGGCTAGCATGATCAGGGTCTAGAGAGTGCAGCGGCCGCGCCTGAGGGGGAGTAAAACTCCAAGGAAGGCTGGGATTCGACAGGCGTCGCAGTAGGCGGTAGTCTGGTGAAGGGGGTGAAGGATATCAAAACCTTCTTCTTTTTGTCTAAAACGCGCTGCACAGACACCCCCACAACTTCCAGAGGAGTAGAGCATCCGAAGAAGTAGCGGCGAAGGAGGCTGCAGCAATATCTCGAGCAGCTCTGCTGATGCCCATTGCGCCAGTAACAGCAGGTGCAGAAGCAGCTCACTGCAGCAGCAGATATTCGGTAGCAGTAATAGCATCCGCTGCTCTTTTCTCATCCGTCTGCGTGTGTGTGTGTGTGTGTGTGTGTTTGTTTGTTTGTTTGTTTGTTTGTTTGTGTTTGTTTGTTTACTTGATTGTTGACTTGCTTGCTTATTTGTCTGTGTGTTTGATTGCTTGTTTGTTTGTCCTTGTGTTTGTGTTGGTCTGTACACTGCCGGTCCTCACCTGTGTGCCGGTGCAGCGAATAAGAACGGGAGTGCCCTCAGGGCCCTTAGCAAACATCTGGGCTACGGATATATCTATAGCGTTGGCGCTACAAATATGCAGCCGCCGCTGCACTTCTTCCTGATCGCATGCCGGCCTCAAAACGCGCAAGCCCAAAACCCTCAGCCATGTTGCAGATAACCGCTTCCCTTAATACACCCAGGCACCCTTAGATTGCGCATATCCGAACAACTGCTAAAAAAAAATCGAGAGCCTGCTCCTCAAAGAACTTCCGTCACAGCTGCACTACCAGCAGCCAATTGCTTACTTCCATGCCACCTGCAGTGCTGGCCGTAGCTGTCACGTTTGGCAGCTCTTGCTGCCGCCCATTTTGTTGGTGCAACTGCGGCTGCTGCAATTCATGCTGCGTTTGCGGTTGTTGCACTTGCTCGCATCGCTGCCGTTGTTCCTGCTGCTGCTGCGTCTCTTTGTTGTGCTGCTTGCCGTGGCGCCTCCTTCCAGGCATTTTCACTTCTGTGCCTTCAGCCGGCGGCTGTCTTGAATGCTTCAGAATTTCTCTGCGTTGTGCCGCCAGAAGAAGCGCGTCACCTTGTAGAGTCCCTTGCAATTTACTCTACGGGCTACAGGCAAAAAATACGCTTCTTATTAGGAGAATTAGAACAGAGGACACACAACATTTATGTTGTGCGTCCTTGTGACTCCAAGTAGTGGGTAAAACTGGGGGTCTGCAGTACTCCCTTGGCTAGGACTGCGTATGTTAACACGCCTAGCTAAAGTGGGCACCTGAATTGTTATGAGCTGAAACCCGATTCCTACCCCTAAGATAACCTTAGTCGTGTTTATGAACTAACTACACAAAATCAGTTTACATATATTAGGAAAGGGAAATCCCAAACAGATCTGACCCCTGACCCCACTCTAGCGGGTCAGTGTCTTGGCCACGCTTGCCAAACCCAGACCTCGACCAGCTGCACGGCAGTTGCCCTAAGGCTATAATTTCATCATAAAGTGAGGTCCTTCCTAGCAGGTATTATCGAATTCGCTGCTGTTTCTTGTTACTGGCCCCTAGAGGCACTATAGGGGACTTTTTGTAGTGATCGTGCACTAAAACTATATCCATAAACCCCCTCTCCCCCCACCCCACCCCGGCTCCCGTCCAGCTTATGCTTGCTTGGTAGATTTGAGTTGTTACCATATCTTCGGGCCCCTATCATCCTTCTACCTGCCAAAGTTGCGCCTGTTTGGGCTGTTAAACTACCAAGAGCTAGTGCAGTAGGCTATATCATTGCCTAGCAGGCCTCCGTCTGGGAGGGATCTCCTGCCGTATATTACAGTGGTTCGCGCCTCAGTTTGTGCTCCACGGATGCGTACTACTCTGCATATCTCACTCCTCTGTCTTGCCCCACACCTGACGTCCCGGATGCATCAATTGACATCTACGGTTGTCCTGTTTTCTGCTCAGATGTGCTCTTTTCTGGCTTGATGGCACCTATTCCCATAGGTCGGCTCTCCTCTGGGGTTGGGAACTAATGCGTTTTGCAGCGTTGGCGCCTTGAATGCACAAAGTTTCTTTTGCCTCCTCGAAGGCTTCGTCAAATCCTTGAGCTTTATCGTTGACAGAGCTGTCGTTGCTGTGGCTTTCATGTTTCCCCGCGTCAATGGTGGCCGTCCTCCCCGTTAGCTGGCTCCGGTGATGCAGCCACTAGCTGCATCTTCGTTTCCATGCATCTCATCTAGTTGTGGCTGCAGCAGCGGCAGTTGCTGCGGCCAGCGGTCAACGACTCCGGCGTTTTCAAGCGGGTTGCAGGGCTGCGAAAAGGGACAGGAATCCATTGTGTATTTCTTAGGGTCCCCCAATGCCTCTACTGAGACTCAATGAGCCACCCTCTTTTGTTGCTGCAGTAGCAGCATGAGCGCCACCACCTCCTCCCTCCACGCAGCCGTCTTCCCCGCATTTCTGATGTCTCCACCGTCTTGTTCGTTTGCTTCCATTGACGCCCAATGAGGCTACCGTCTCCTATGCCAAATGGGCTTTTCGGCTAGGCGACATTCGGCGTTGCTCAGCAGCGCAGGGAGCATCATCCCACTCATCTAGAAGTGCCGCTACGTCTTGCAATGAAGTGTCCAGGGGGGGGGGCATCCTGGCCCTTGCCTTCTGTTGTTGGAGTCACTTCTCTTCCTGCCGCCTGCGTCTTCATCTCTCCAGACCCCCTCAGCTGGGAGAGCTGACCATCCCTTCTCCTGCGTCTTTGCAGCTGCAAATCTGTTGTCTTGTGCACTCCCTGTTGCATGGGAGGCCTCCTCCTGGTGCATCTGCTGCTCGTGATGCCTGCCCTCTGCTACGAGGCTCGGTTGAATCCATAGCCATGCCATCTCCCCAGTGTCTTGGCCTGCTTTGCTGCTGCCGTCTGCAGCAGCAGCAGTGTTTTCCTGTCGCTCCCCTTCACTTTCTGCCCCTTCTTGAGCTTCCGACGCACCCTCCATGCCGTTTTCCTCCTCCTTGTTTTTACCACCAGCCACTTCTTCAAGCTTCAGGCAATCTCCCCACCTATCTGTGGCCCCTTCTCCTGTAGCCTTCTGCAGCTGCTCATGCTCCCCATCGCTCGCTCCACCTGAAGGCCCGTTGCTAGCCTCCCCTATTGCGCTTCACGCCCTGTCAAAAGTGCCTCCAGCGTGCATTACCGCCCCAATGTCTCCACCCCAGCACCATCTGTTGATACTGCGGAGCTTGCTGCGTTTCTATCCCATCACCTTCGGAGGAAGTTGCCTCCAACGTAACAATTTACGGACTTTCCCCCACTCCTAACCTCGCTCTCTAGACCCCTAGGTACCGCCCGCCACTTCCGCGGCCCTGATTATGTTGGTGTCCCTCGCTTTGGCCTCGAACATGGCCATCGTGGGTTCATAGTAGCTCACAACGGCGTTTGTTTCCCATGCGCAGAACCGTGTTTTCCCATGTTGTCACGAGGAGAATATCGGTCCCCAGCTCAGCGCGATGTAGAACTACAATCCCCTTATACCTAACCGCTATACGTCGCTCTACTACCGCAGCGAATCGTTCCCTGTACTGTGTGTGATTCCCCGTCCAACGCACCTTAGCCAGCTTTACTAACACTTGGCGCGTGGATGTTTGCCTTTAAAACTTTTTACGCCCCCGTTGTTTGGTCGTTTCCCAATCCCTAAGGTGGACTCCGTTGTAAGTTGGTCCAGCATATCAGTGGAGGGCCTGCATTATAACTGATAACCTCACCTCCCCATTGCGTCCGCTCTAATCCAATTCTGGGGGAACCACGCTAGATGTTCACGGAGAAGGCTTGCATTGCCTTCCCGTCTGCCTTGCTGCATGGGGGGTGGCATGGTCCCCCCCGGATCTGGGTTGCTCACCGACAACCTTCGCTACCTCACAGCCGCCTAATGCCCCATGGCAAGTTATTAGTCAGCTGCTGCTCTGTCAGCTTCGGTTGGGGGGAGTGTTGCCAATGCAGGCACTTCTTTTCGCCCGGGCTGCGGGTCGTGTGCCTCTGCCTTTGGTGTATATATAGAGTGATGCAGAGTTTTCTCGCTGGGCAGTCGGTGTGTGGACGCATCAGTCTCGGTCCCATGCAGGACACGCCCTCTGCGTAGGTACATTCCCTGCATATCTACCTTGACCTATTGTGCGAGAAACGAAGTTTGCTCATAACGAAAGTGCCCTGTGCTTACATATAGTTCCCGGGATATTCCGCAAACCTATTGGAACCTGATTCTTACCCGTAAGATAACCTTAGTCATATTTATGAAATAACTACACAAAAACCAGTTTTACTTATTAGGAAATGGAAATCCCAAGTAGATCGGGGCACTTTGACCCCACTCTAGAGGGAATCTTGGCCACGCTCGCCAAACCCAGAACTCGGCCAGCTGCACGGCAGTTGCAACCTTAAGGCCATAATTTCATCATAAAGTGAGCTACTTCCCTGCAAGTATTGTCGAATTCGGTGCTGTTTCTTATTACTCGCCTCTAGAGGCCGTGCGGGATGCACGTTTTAGTGCCTCTGCACTACAGGGACCGCTGCACTTCTTAGAGGGCTTTAAGGTACTTATATAACTAAGTAAGTAAAACTAGTGATTATTCTAAAAGGATGTCACCCTCGTACAATTTGAGGGACCCGTGTCGTGCTTGTGTCTCGCATCCAATTGGGGCCGCATGCAGCTGGCGTAGCGGTGGCAGCAGCCGTTGCAGTGCAGCAGCAGCTGCAGTTGCGGTCCTGCGCTGCGTTCTATGGGCAAGTTGGTGAGGTTTGGGTGGGTTGATTATAGAACTGAGGACTTTCTCTCTGCCGTTTCAGCACTGAGTGAATCTCCGCGTTACAAAGCGCGCAGCTGCTTTTCCCCCCGCGTTGCTGCTGCTGCTGCTGCTGCTGCGGCGGCGGCGGCGGCAGGTGTTGCAGAGCTGGGAGACAGTAGATGATTGCTTGCAGCGGCTGCAGGTCCTTTTGTGTGGCGATCGTAGGCTTTTAACTTCTCCACTATTGGGCTTGCGATCTCCCCATAGCGTTTTGGGTCCCCGTGCCAAGTGCTCTGCGCCGGCAGCACGAGCGGCAACGCCAGCAGCAGCAGACTTCGTAGCTGCTCCATTTCTTTTTCCGTTACTGTAGAAGCTCGTGTGTCTTTTGCCTGTGCCATAATGAGCGCCGCGGTGGAACCCCCGCAGCGGCCGCCCGTGCCCTCTGGTGGCGCAGCGGCTGCTGCTACAGTTGCGGGCGGCGCAGCTGCTCCCGCTGAAGTCAGGTCATCTGGGGCCGCCCCCCCTGACTTGATTTTCCCTCCTGCGGATATGAGGGGCGTTATTGAGAAGACGGCTCAGTTTGTAGCGAAGAACGGGGCAGAGTTTGAGTCACGTGTGCTGCGGGAACAAAGTGCAACGAAATTTGGATTTTTGTTGCCGAACAATCCATACCATGCATTCTATAAGCTGAAAGTGAGGGAATTCACCACGGGGGAGGCGGCTCCAACCCCGCAGGTCCCACAGGCGATTCGCGACATGCAGCAGAAGCAGCAGCAGCAGAAACAGAAACAACAGCAACTGTTGATGTTGACGCAAATAGGCGAGAGCGAAAAAGACGGGGTGAAGGAGAAGCTGGAACCGCCCCCGCCCAATCAATTTGTGCTGCAGCACCCGTGGGTGGCTCCTGTTGATTTGGATATTATTCGTTGTTGCGCGCAGTTCGTTGCGCGGAATGGGCAGAAGTTCTTGGCAGGTTTGGCGCAGCGGGAACAGCAGAACCCTCAATTTGCTTTTTTGAAGCCTTCGCATCATTTGTTCTCGTATTTCGCTTCTCTCGTCGACGCGTACACCAAGTGCCTTCTGCCGCAAAAGGAAACTCTGGAGGCTTTGCGGGAAACTGCGGAAGACCGCCAGGCGCTACTGGCGCGGGTTCGGCGGCGCATGCAGTACGAGCGGCAGCAGCTGAAGCAACGCCAGGAAAAAGAGAGCAAAACGCAGGAGGAGAGGCGGTTGATGATGTCGCTGGATTGGGAGTCATTCCACATCGTTGAAACCATTGAGTTTACAGAAGAAGATGAACGCTTGCCTCTCGCGGCCCCAATCGACTTCACCTCCGTGCCCAAAGAGCTGCCCAAAGCGCTGCTTACTGAAGACCAAGTGACAGACGCAGACGGAGCAGCAGCTCCAGGCGACCAGACAGATTCTATAGCGAAACTCATCGAAGGCGCAGACGTAGATGCAGAGGATGAGGCCATGGAAACAGAAGATGAGGAAGAAGCAGCACAACAGCCCGACTCCGATAAATTGCCTCCAGAGGGACAACCTGGGACTGCTGCTGAGGCTGGTGTTGCGCGGCAGCAGCAGGACGTACGTGATCACAACGTCCCCTGCCTGGCCGCCATTACCCTGTATTTCACTTTTCAGCTTCCATGCAAATGTGCCATTTCCTCGCTTGGATGCATGAAGCCCGGTCGCGAGCATGCACGCATCTGAGTGAATGTATGAGTGAATGGACATAGTGTCTGGGAGTTGGTGGGGATCATTGGGTGGGACCTTGTGGGGGGCAGGAGGGATGGGAGTTGTCTAAGGTTTGCGAATGAGGTTGGTGGTGCGGCAAATGATGAGACGACGCCCTTACAGGCGGCTTCTTGTTATGAGGGCATCGAGGTGTCTCGCGAGACACAACGGTCCCGCTGACTCTGCGCAGGGGAACTGAGCCACCATCGCCTTTGCAAGATCTCACTTCTGTAGTCTTTTTGTGTAGTCAGCTTCTGAAAGCGGTGGAGGATGTGCCGTTGTTTGTTGCTTTTGCTGCAGCGCAATGATTGTATACTGTTGCTTGCTGGAGGACTTTGCTGTGTGATGCGTTTTTGTTGTGCCGTCGCTCTGCACCCCTGTTTTTTCCCTTCTCATGGTTGCGTTCTTGTTCATTTGCGTTGTTTCGCTACATGCATGGCATACGTGTTTGTTGCTGTGCATGTGTTCGCGGTTGTGCGGTTTGTTCGTCTCCTCGTCTGTCTTGCCAGCTCTTAATTGCTCTTAATATATATATATATATA